GCTTCAGCGAGTAGATAAAATGGGTACCACTCCTTAGAGAGGGTGGGCACACCAACCCCCCCCCTCAGTGGGGGAGGTGTTAGCTGGCGACCGGAATGCTCAGCTCGCGAGATTGAAAGCCTAAGAAAAAATCTCTTCAACTCCGAGAAGCCTGTAATGGGCCGTTCCGGCCAGGCGGTGGCAGTGCGGTGCTGCAAGACCTGGAGAAGCTGACGTCATCTAGCCAAGCTGAAAGTGAATATGCCGACGGAACATGCCTGACCCCGCAGCTTGAACAAACCCTCGCCGACTGTGAATGTGTGTGATTTAAAAAAGATATATGTTGTCCCCCCTTACCCCCATAAATCATTGTTAGTCCCGCGTCAATGAGTAACTGTAAATCGCTCAGAGCCAGCAAGCTCTGCAAAATTGAGCGATTAATAAATTGAAAGATTATTATTATTATTATTTATCAAACTTATACCCTCCTCCTCCCACAGATAAAACAGCAATACATAATATAGTAATCATAAAATCATAAAAACAATTACACATTAAAAGGTGCTAACCAATAATAGTCCAGATGTCATTAAGCTCACACCCTGAAAATCTTGCTGGACCCTCAGGTGCTAGTGGACTCAAATCTCGTGTATACAGGGTCATTGCTACTCAGCAGCCCAAATGCCCATACCTTTTCTTAGGTCCCAGATACACACAACCCACTAGGAGAACCTATGATTCACTCTTTACACGATGAACCTTGTGGTCTGTGGAAATTGTTGAAATCGGGTTCCACCTACACAGCTGGCAAACTGAAGAAGTTGAAGGAAACGCCTCCTTTAAGTATCTGGAACAGGCGTCTTTGAGAAGGCTGTTTGGAAAATGTTTTGACTATGTGGACGCCTCCTATCAAGTTGAACTGATTACATGGACTTCACGTCTTATCTTCTAAGGAGGAAACATTGTCTCTTATGCCTTATTAGAATTATAGCATGCACTTAATTTCGTTGTTGTGACACCATCAACTTTGCATTTGTTACATACAGTTTATATTTTGGCAATTTCTGATGGTGTTTCTCCTAGCAGATTGTGTGTCTCTGGGACCTTTGTGACACGTGCCCCCCCCCGTTTTTGGACATACATTTTCTTAAGCATACTGTCTTTTGTTACAGCAGCTGAACTGGAGGAAAACACAACTGACTGCTACCCAAACGAGCTGGTAAATGTCCCAGCCTCTTTCTGAAAAACTACCAGTTTCAAAGAAGCTGCATTTTTATTTTTATTATTATTATTATTACTATTTTATTCAGTTTATACCCTGCCCTGTGGTTAAGACGCTGAACTGCAGGCTGTGGAAGGTCAGTAGTTCAGCAGTTCGAGACCCGGGTGCCGCAAGACGGAGTGAGCTTCCATCTCTAGTTCCAGCTCCTGCCAACCGAGCAGTTTGAAAGCAAGAAATTGCAAGTAGATAAATAGGTACCACTTCGGTGGGAAGGTAACAGCGTTCCGTGCGCCTTGGTGTTTAGTCATGCCGGCCACATGACCACGGAAACTTCTTCGGACAGCGCTGGCTCTTCGGCTTTGAAGCGGAGATGAGCACTGCAACCCTAGAGTTGGACTCGACTGGCTTTCGAGCAAGGGAACCTTTACCTTTATCCCACAAGTAGGTTCAGGGTGGCTTACAGCACACAGTCCATAAAACAACAAAAGAGTAAAAGCAATAAAACAGTCGATGGTGCGGTAGACAATATCATCAAACCCCATGCCTCAAAGCAGGTAAATATAGGTGCTCCAGCGCCCAATAACATTACCTGACAGCAGGCACTGGGAAAGGGGCCATAAACAGGGGAGGCCAGACTGGTTGAATGTCTGTCGCCTCCACCTAACGCCTGGCGGAACAGCTCTGTTTTACAGGCCCCCAGAACTGTAGGAGGTCCCGCAGGGCCCTGATCTCGATGGGGAGCCTGTTCCACCAGGTCAGGGCAAGGGCTGAAAAAACCCCGGCCCTGGTTGAGGCTAAGCAGACAGCCCTTGGGCCAGGGATCACCAGGAGGTGTTGATCCGAAGAGCGTAAAGCTCTCCGGGGCTCATGCAGGGAGAGCCAGTCCATTCTGCACTTTGAAACAGTTCTTCTTCTATTTATTTTTATTATTTATTTTATTATATTTCTATCCCGCCCTCCCCGCGAACGGGCTCAGGGTGGCTCACAGGTTAGGGCACCCTGTGCCAGATATATAAAACATATTTGTTGTTGTTCAGTCGCACAATCGAGTCCAACTCTTCGCGACCCCATGGACCAGATCACGCCAGGCCTTCCTGTCTTCCGCCGTCCTCTGAAGTTTGCTCAACTTCATGTCCGTTGCATCTATGACACTGTCTAACCATCTCATCCTTTGCCGTCCCCGTCTTCTTTGACCTTCAATCTTTCCCAGCATCAGGGTCTTCTCCAGGGAGTGCTCCCTTCTCATTTGGTGGCCAAAGAATTTGAGCTTCAGTTTCATTATCTAGCCTTCCAGGGAACAGTCAGGGTTGATAAAACATATGCAAACAGATAAAACAAGATTAAAAACCAACCATATAATGCAATTAAAGTGCTCAGTGATGTTAGTCCTTCAATCGAATTTAGGTGGCATACTGTAGATGTAACACAAAGTCCCGATTCAGCAGTGATTGATCTATCACGATGTTGTGGCTCGATCTTCATAGAGGGCCAACCCACTA